TACTCTTTAGTAGCAACTTAAATCATAAATATGCTGAAGCAGGTGACTTAAGTAGTCCCATAGAGGCTGGCTGCCCTTGAATAATGGAGCCACTCTGAATTCTCATTGAAACAGCAATCTCTAACCAAAGATCATAACCAAGTGCTATTTGTGGGGATGCTAAAGGCAGCCTAGTGACCCTTAAAAGATTCCTCTGGGCCTTGACTTTTAGAGACTTTAACCCAAGCCTAACCAGGATCCATGGCTTTGAGGCAGGAATGCATTTCAGGACCGGCAAGTATGAATTAGAATTAATGTTAATAAAGATATTGTAATAAATATTTTAAAAACAAGGATAAGGAGAAAGAAAAGCATCCAGAAGCAAAGGTTGGGTGAGGGCTTCTCTGAGAGTCACACTTAATGTTATCCTCTGAGATCCGTGACCACTAGCTCCAGGTAGTTGGCTAGGTTTCCAGTACCAGCCATGATTTCCCTCCTGATGAGCAGGCCTTGAGTCTAATTAGACAGTTTTTGTTGGTTGCTGCCAAGATAGAGTGCCACTACTGCACCCTAGGGATATCTTGCCATAATGTTCATGGCTGGGTAGGACTATTAGTTGCTTCCCTCCCCTCACAGATATACAGAGGCTTTGTCAAGTTCACCTTGGATCTTCTGAGTCCTGTGTCCAAAGTTCATGGTGTCTTCAGCAACAGGGACTTACTGTCAACCTCTGGGAGGCAACCAATAGCAACAGCAATAACCTATATTGTTTGGGGAATCTCTGGGTCTTCCCTGGCCAATAATTTCTCATACTTGGTACTGGGGGTTTTGTTAGTCTATTGCTCTTGGTGGGAATGATGCTGTCAGCTCAAATAGCATAACCTCATCGTGTGTGTGTGTGTGTGTGTGTGTGTACTATATATAAATTTAGGCTAATAAAAATGATTCCTTATGGCACTTTCAAACACTGCCATTTTAATGCATAAAAGTTACATTTTAATTGAGTTCAATTTGTTTCTTTTTACTTCACAGCATTAATTTGAGATTTATAGTGTAAATGAAAATTACCAGCAAATTAACACTCTTGTAACAATAAAAACCTTTCCTTAAAATTTTTAACACTGAAAGCAATCTTCTCTTGAAGCCTTCTTTGTGACTTGAGTGTATCATTATAACCTGTAAAGTGCTGCCTATTTAATGGATGTGATTGTTTAATATGTTTTTACAGGAATAAGGGAAGAAATTTTAAACTCATTGGAATCATTAGTTCTTTGTATCAGTTTTATTATGAAATTAACCTTTTCTTTAACCATGTCTTTTTTAGAATCTTCCTAACTACTATGATGACTGCCCTTTTTTCTTTTGGTTTCATACAGCTTTTATACGAAAGAACAGGTAGGGATACATTGTAATACAACAGAGCAACTTAATGTCCCATGTATGTATTATGTCAAGGTTTACACTGGCTCTCCTAAATTCAACTTAACAAAATCCTTGAGTCATCTTTCCACATTAGTCATCATAATGTGGTTTTAAAATCTTTTTAGTGTCTGTATTTATTAATATGAAATATACATCGCACAATATACATTTACAGTCTGTGTCTCCTTTGTCTTAATTTTTCATGGAACTCTGTCCATTAGCTCCTCCCACCTCCACTCTGCCCCCTCACTTGAGACATCATGTGACTTGGTAAAGGTTATTTTCAAAATATAGCTGCTTCTCAAACCTCAGTGTTGCATTAATTACAAGCACTGTGCCCTTGAACTATAAGTTAAAATGTATTTATTCAGATTTTGAGTGTGTCAATAAATTCCTTCCATGAACTTTAATATATTTATTTAGTGTCTTGAGTTTGTTAAGGCCTCAAAGAGTGTTGGCAAACTGGCACCCAGCCACTAAATTCCAGGTGTCCACAGCTCAGAAGCTGATTGGCACACCTAACATCTAGGACAGAAGTATTAGTGAAATCACCTAAAATCAATCATGTGATAACTTCCCACTTAAACATGATTTATTAGAAAATAATTTATTAGAAATTGAATTGGAAATCTTTATTTGAAAATTTAATTGGATTTGATTATTCCAAAGAATCTTCTTGTGGTTATGAAAACAAAGAGGCAACAAAGACAGACAGGCAGATAGGCAGAGAATCCATTACAGAAGGAAAATAATTTTTTAACTCCATCAGTTGGTAGATGGTGTTGAAGTGGCTGTCATTAAACGGGCTATTAGTCCATGTTGATACAGGAAAAGCAAAGTTGGATCATTTTGATGCTTGCTTCTATATAAGATGTTAAAGATGTTTGTAACATTTAATTTGCATATAAGACAAACTGTTTATATAGTCAGGAGTCAGCTGTTAGGTCAAAACACAAAGTTTTTCACTTAAAGAAGAAGTGATGTTTTATTACTCTGGAGTGTATATTCCTCACTTATAGAAATATCACTAATAAGATCATAAGAACCACTGTTGGAAGAATCAGCAATATGTCCTTATTAAGATAGAGTTGGAAGGACTAAGCCAACACACAGAGGGGGTCAGAGGCTCTGATCGTTAGTGAGGTCTTTCCCCTGAAGCACCAACAAAGTAATTTATTGCCTGGCTTTCTATTAGCCCTAATAAAAAATGTAATGATTTTTCTCCTATTCTTAGGCTTTACCTGCCAAGACATGAATTGGATAATACCCATAAATCAAAGACATGGAAAATTTATGGCCCAAAGTTTGCAGTAGAGGTATATTTTGGTGAGACAAAGCCCGCGGTTTTGCAGTAGCTGTTGAGAAGTTCCAGTCCCCTTCTTGATAGAATCATGTTCTTCCTGATCCATGCTACATATTTATGTCTTCTAACCTATGCCGTTGATTGTATGTCTGTATTATATACATATATGTATGTGTATGTACATATGTTTCTGGGAAATATATTAAACGTATACAGGAAAAATGATGCCAATTGTCTTTTTCTTTTGAAGGCATATACAATAAACACGGCCTTTCTCTTTTTGATAGAAGGTCTCACTATATAGTCCTTGCTGGCCTGTAATTCCCTATGTAGGCTAGATGTGAATTCAAGAAATCCACCTGCCTCTGCCTCATGAGCTGAGATTAAAGGTGTGTATCACCATGCCTGGTTCTCTACTTTTTGGAACATACTGTATGTAGGTGTATTAGGTATGATTTTAAAGAACTTTGAAATAATAAATCTTTCCTGTCAAAAAATTGAGCTATATAGAGATTTTGTGTTCCTATAACACACAAGTGCTTACCTGTTTTCTGAATAAGTACTTATTCCGTGTTTTATGTTTGTAATTTGCCTTTATTTGGTTCACAGATTAAAATATATTGGATTGGCAGCAATGCCAAGGTTTGTTCATTGTTTTGGTATTTATTTTACCTGCATGCTTGTATCTATATGTGTATGTGCATGGGTGTGCTTATGCTATCGTGCACATGTAGCCATCAGAGGGCAACTTGTGTGGGACTGTTTTCTACTTCCATTATATGGGCTCTGGGAATCGAACTCAGGTCTTCAGGCTTGACAGCAAGCACCTTTACCCACTGACTGAGCCATCTCCCCAGCCCAGCAAAACCAAAGTTTTAAATCCAGAGGAAAAAACCTATCCCCTCACTGATAGCACATACATTCCCCTTTCTCTAGGCAATGCACAGGTAGATAAATGACAAACTCTCTTTAATTACACACATAGGAAGGAGAAAAAGATGCTGATTAACACGAAAAGCCAAGACTTTAGTGACTGCTGCTTCTATGTAACATTAAGTGAAGCTGAAGGAAACTAAGTAATCTAGGTATGTAAAAGTTCATGGTCCCTGTCCTCAAAACCCCATCAAGAAAAAACAATTATCCTAAATTTAATAGCAAATACTTTAAGTATTTTTAAAAAGTAGAAACACTGAGGAGCTGAATAGGGAGGGCTCATTCAGTAAAGTGCCCACTACAAGCATGAGGACTTGAGTTCTGATCTTAGTACCTGTGTAAGGTGCAGCACACATCTGTAATCCCAACACTCTGGGACCAAAGACAGGCAAATCTCAAGGGGTTGCTGATCTACTCAGGAAGTGAACTCCAGGTCCAGAGACCCCCCCCCCCAACTCAAAAAACCCTGAGGCAGACTTAAATAGCCCCAGGACCCAAAGAGCACCCTGGACTCATGCTGAGACCAGGTAAGAGCCCCTGTCAGTTTTCCTGAGAGCTTGGCAAGGGCAGTCCCTTGTCCATCGTGAGTCTAGCACAGGGCAGGAAGGTCTTTGGGAATGGAAGCTGGTGAGTATTCTGTTGCTAACCCTCCAGGCCACTCCTACCAATGTCAGACTGCAAAATAAACCCACCTAGGAAATGAATGTCTGAAGGGACAGCGAGTAGAGGAAAATAGTCACCATCAGCCTCTGGCTGCCACACACCCATGTGTGGGTGAGTGCATACACATATACCATACACATACAGTAAATAAATGGATGGATAGATGCTGTCTTTTGCTGTGATAAGGCACCACAACCATGGCAACTCTTAAACATTCAATTGAAGGCTCACTTACAGTTTCAGAGGGTCAGTCCATTATCACGATAGCAGGGAGCGTGGTAGCATGCAGGCAGACACAGCCCTGAAGCTGAGAGCTTCACAACCTGACCCACAGGCAACAGGGACAGATACTGGGCCTGGAATGGGCTTTTGAAACCTGGAAGACCACCTCAGTGACACACTTCCTCCAAAAAGGCCACACCTCCTCCTAATCCTATAAACACCAAGTCACGCCTTGGTGACTAAGCGTTCAAATGTATGAGCCCCATTGAGGCCACTCTCATTCAACCTACACATGTATAGGGAGAGAGCAACGTTTTTGTCAACTTCCCTACAGTAAAATTATTTTACATCAGGAAACCTTGCTGACAAAAATACTTGTTCCAATGCAACCAGCACCTTGAAATTTATTATCCATAACTCTCCAATATTCCTATTGGTCCTTAATATAAATATAATGTATTTAAGTGAAACTCCATCATAGACTTACATTAGTTTTATTTAATAATGATAAAGTACTCATTTCTTTAAACAAACTATCTCAAGTTCTGGTTTTGTCCCAAACATTAAACCACAAATTAAACCAACAGAATAACAGTAATAATAATAATAATAATTCTCCTGAGGCCTCTGTTTTTCACTCCTCCTTGTTTCTGTTCCTATAGCAGAGGCCACAATGGACAGACCTGGAGAAGACACACTACCATCAGCTAGCAAAGCTGACTGATGCTCAAATACGAAAGCAACTGCCATGCCTGGAGGACTCCTGCAGTATGAACAGGGCAGAGCTAAGGCCTAACATGGCCAGGTGGAGGCAATGGAAAAGTCCCAGGAGCCAGCAAGAGATGTATTCACCCCACTCAGCATGGGGGAGACCTAATGAGGGACTTAACTAGGGTGTGCCAGGCCAAACTGGAGAAGGCATGCATGAGTGGTGACACACAAGATACCGGCACGCTGTGTGGGCTTGAGTTAAACATGTCTGTGTCTTTGTGCTCTCTTTAAACCTCAAGCACAAGTTCACAGTCACTGTGAGATAATAGATCCCAGGCACCAAAAAGGGAGACCATGCTTTGGTCAGTTCTCTCTCCTGCAGGAAACTTAATCCTGCTTTGGTACAATCTAGGCCTGTTCAGATGAAGCAATACTCAGTAGCCACTGGACATATAAGAACAGAGGGGACGAAAGTAGAAACATGGCTTTCTCATAAAAAAGTCAGTCCTTTTGGGGGAAACTTTGCTTCCTCAACCTTGTGCTTCTGGCACTAAAGCAAGGGGCCATTAATAAGGTCAGCCTACTTCTTCAGCTTTATAGGCAGGGTAAGAACAAATGCTACTGTCAGCACCCCTGGCCTTGGAAGTACTGCAGACAATGAGATTTTGGTTGCTACATACATATTACCTAGTTTAATAAACATGTTTTTATTATGTCACAATGCCTTCCAAATTTACACATCATCTATAGTCGTTAAAATTCAGACTGCCAGCTCCAAATGGAGAAACAAATCAAGGCGTTACGGACCACAAGTGGACTTCAGGAGGGTGAGTCCTGATGTGATTATGCTATGATGCCTCACGGGCTCCTCTGGACTTCCTCATGAGAAGGAAACCATGATGAAAGCAGGGAGCCCGGACTTCTCTGCTTCCTGAAAGGGCCTATGGTAGGTAGAGGCTAAGAGAGAGAGAGAGAGAGAGAGAGAGAGAGAGAGAGAGAGAGAGAAAGAGAGAGACAGAGAGAGAGAGACAGAGAGAGAGAGGCATGGTGGCTTCATATCCAGGACCAAAAGAGCACCCTGGATTCCCGCTGAGACCAGGTAAGAGCCCCTGTCAGTTTTCCTGAGAGCTTGGCAGGGCAGTCCCTTGTCCATCATGAATCTAGCACAGGGCAGGAAGCTCATTGAAAAGGGAAGCTGGCGAGTACTCTGCCGCCCTCCAGGACTAACGCTCCAGGCCACTCCTACCAATGCCAGAGTGCAAAATAATAAACCCACCTAGGAAATGAATGGCATTCTCAGGAGTTGGGCATCATGAAGAAAAGGAAAAAAATCCAGGATATCCACCCTGAAATTGAAGCCACACAAGTTTGCATACAAGTTTATCTAAAAATATAGAGGGATGTTTTAGCATTAATATACCACAGAAAGTTAAAATTTTAACCTCTTAGTTTTAACCTCAGCAGCTTTGGCCCTACATCTAGGATGGGTTAAGCAATCATTTACAACCATCTGTGTTAAAATTGGTCACCACTTACAACTAGACACGGAACAAAATTGTGTATTCCTCAACCTAAAACCATCCAAAATTGCATGTGTACCTCTGACTTCTGCAGAAGTCCTGAGAGGAACAGAATCTGCTTAAGGCCAGTGCATAAGGCCACCAGCTAGCTACCCTGTACATTCCACCAAGGGCAAGAGCAGCGACTTTTTTCTTTTGGTACATTAATGGGTAGAAATTATACTGTGGAGAACAGAGGGCCTTCCACAAAGATTTAAGACTTTGAATAGAAGGGAAGACAAGGACAAAAATCCCAATTAATGAAATAATTCCACATTGTTCTTGTAATCTGTGAAACCCTGAGTTAATAATAATCACCAAACGCCTGTCTTGCATCCAGGCCCACCAGGACACTTCAGTATGCTTCCAATTGGTTCATCATCAACTTCCTGCTATATTCATAGGCCAAAAACAGCGCTCCATTGGCTGGGAAAGCTCGAATCATGGTAGGTTTCAGTCCAGAATACAAAGATGTTATTCCTGCAAGACAAAGGGGAAATCAAAGATTGTGGCAGCAGTTACTTGAGGACAGACATGCCAACTGCACAGAAGACATTATCTGGGCCCTCAAACTCACAGTACTAAAGCCCTTGTGATGAAGGGACTTGCTCTCAGGTCCACCTCAACAGACTTCAGTCAGCAAGCCCGCTAGCAAAGCTGACTGATGCTCAAATACGAAAGTAACTGCCATGCCTGGAGGACTCCTGCAGTATGAACAGGGCAGAGCTAAGGCCTAACATGGCCAGGTGGAGGCAATGGAAAAGTCCCAGGAGCCAGCAAGAGATGTATTCACCCCACTCAGCATGGGGGAGACCTAATGAGGGACTTAACTAGGGTGTGCCAGGCCAAACTGGAGAAGGCATGCATGAGTGGTGACACACAAGATACCGGCACGCTGTGTGGGCTTGAGTTAAACATGTCTGTGTCTTTGTGCTCTCTTTAAACCTCAAGCACAAGTTCACAGTCACTGTTTTGCATTGCAGATAATGACATTATTTGGCCTCATCTATTTTGCTTTTTAAATTATTTTATCCTTTTTAGATTTCAATATATTTATAAATCATTTACCTCTTCCCTTTCTTCTGTTCAAACCTTCAAATAACCCTAGTTTTAAGATGCCAGAAAGACAGGTCTTTGGGTTGCGTGACATTGATGTCATCTGAACATGACTTAAGTCTGTACCCTGCATAAACCCGATTGCCAGGCATCTATAGATACTGCTCAGGTCATTTCTCATTCCAGAAGTCTTATTGCTACAGATGCTGTATTACATTCTTTTAAACATATGGTAAGAATGTAATATATCCAATATATTCTTTTAAAGCCCCAGTGGTCCTGTTAGGAGTGTTTTCACATTTGGATTATGTAAATGAGGTGATGTCACTCACTTCAGAGCATTTTTCCCTCTAGACAAAGTTTGTATCTTAAAAAATCCCCCCCAAGGTATTTAGGATAAAAAGGATCCTGCCAGATGCCTGGTCCATAAGTTAGAAAAAAAAAGAACTTGAAACATTTTTGAGAACATTGAAAATAAGCTAAAGCAAAATGTTTGGAAATAGAAAGCCGGTGGCAGGAAAAGGACACAAGGTGGGGACAGTAAGAGCAGTGACAGGTCTAATTAACCTTGGATGGCCGCATCTGAAAGGTCAACCCAGCACTCACCTTCGTTCTTCACAATACTCAGGAAGGTTCTGACCAGCCCTGTCTGCTTTCCAGTCATAGAAAGAACTTGAATTCTAGATTTGATACAATCCACCGGATAGACAGCAAGCCACAGGCAAATTCCACCAAATCCACCGCTTAACATCAATGGGATGGGACCTAGGGAGGGAGGCAGCACGGTACTTTGTTTCAGGCAGCATTTCCAGAAGCACATAGAACAGTTAACTCCTTGAAAAACGGCCAAGGCTCTGGCTAAGGAGTTGGAATATCTCGGGGCCTCATCAATACCAGCTGGTCACTCAGGTAGAGTTCCCACCCCAACCTCATCCTCCAGTTGGGGTTGGCCCTCCCACAGTCTTCATCATAGGGAATGAGAAAACACACACTGAAATATAGGCTATGTCTTTCTCAACTTTAACCCCTCAGCAGCCCAAATCTTCCTCTACTGTGACCAAAAAGGAAAAAACAAAAATCTTTGTACTACTCCCAAAACACCATGATTTGCTACCACATTTTTAAAAATGTAAAAATGTGTGCACTTAACAGGTACAACCTGGGATTGTTTACATTTATGACTGATAAGCAGTGGCCAGTTGCCTCATTCCCTGCCCACCTTATCCTTAGAGCCAGGGTTGGTTTTTTTTTTTTTTTTTTTTTTTTTTGGTTTTTCCAAGACAGGATTTCCCTGTGTAGCTTTGGAGCCTGGAGCCTGTCCTGGAACTCACCATGTAGACCAGGCTGGCCTTGAACTCACAGAGATCAGCCCGCCTCTGCCTCCGGAGTGTTGGGATTAAAGGTGTGCACCACCGATGCACGGCTTAGAGAGAGTATTTTCAAGGTAGACATATAACTCTGGGTGGAGATTTGATATTTAGGTGTACAACTTAACAACACAAATGTATTTTAGGCTGCCCAACCAGTACATTAAACACAACACTAAATGAGACTGGTCCTGGCAATGGCACATGCCACATAGTTGTTGTTTGCTTTGTTTTGTCTTGAAAAGTTCTTAACATCTAATATAGTGGTTCTCAAGCGAGGCTGACTTTGTCTCCCCAGGGAATACAGACAAGTTCTGAAGCTTTGTTATTTTGTTTTTGTTTCTCCTTGGAAGTAGTGGGGAAATGGCCAGGGGTGCCACTGAACATCGTGCATGCACAGGGCACCCCACCACAACAGCTTGAAAAGTCCTGTTAATTAAACCCCTAAATATGAGATCTATCAGTAAGTACTTATTTCATGGGTAATGAATAAAAAAATGTTTGGGAACAGTACACCTTACAGGAACAAACTTATTTGTGATTTGATGTCAGAGACAGGACTTGGCAGGACTTATTTTGTAATTGCAATGATGACAGGCAATTAACCAATTTTAAAAGAAAAAAGGTTTTAAAGCTTACTGTGAGATTACTGATAGTTGATTTCTCCACCAGTAAAATAGTGTCTCTATTCCTTCCTCTAATGGGCCCAGAACAGTTAGTACCACCCAGAAGGGAAGGGATGGCTCTATCAATCAATGCTAATGCTTTCGCTTTAGACCTTGACTTTAGGAAATTTCCCTCGGGAGAGGATGCTGGACAATGCCTGCTGCCATTTGACTTTCTGGCATCCAGAAACTCCCCAGTGCTGGGTAGACCATCAGGTGAACACTCAACATATAACCTGAGAGGACCGGGAAACCCATGAAGCGGATCCTACTAAACCTAAATGGTGTCAATGCGAATATATTTACCTAGTTCATCTTTCGATTTCCCTGATGCGAAAAATGATCTGCTCAGTTCATAGCCACCAAAGAAGAAGAAGTAGCCTGGGACTTCTCGGAGTAAAGTGCTTGAGAGTCCATGGTAGAAGCCCAAGGGGCCATCCTTCCTGAAGATTTCTTTCACAACTGACCAAACTGTACTGGGGGACACAAAGTAGGAGGCAGAGTCAGTGCAGATAGGGAGGATGTGTGCATGCAACCATGTTGGTCCCAAGGATGACCTCCAAGAGCAGCTTTGCTATAACTGTATGTTTCCCTGTGACATGCCCTTCCCTTCAAAGCACACCTGTTATTCTTAGATTTCCTGATAACTGTTCGACAAAACAACTGCTTCCTTACTTGTGCCTAATCAGGCCTGCAAACTCCTGGGTGTATATTTCTGTAAGTTACATTGTCTGAGATGTAAAAGGCTTGGTTCCTGTTTTTTTTTCAACCGTGAATATGTAAAAATGAATTACAATAAGGAGCCAATAAAAAGCCGATAAAATACTATACTTGCTCAGGGCCTTGTTCCCTGGAGCCCCAGCTCCTCAAACTTGTTGGTGTATTTGTTACCGGCTGTAATAAAATAACCTGGCAAGGTGCAAACTGAAGGGAGAAAGGGCTTGTTTTTGGCTCACAGTTCAGGGGTACAGTCCATGGTGGGACAAAGTAGTACAGCAGGAGCCAGGGCAACTGATCAGACTGCATCTGCCACCAGGGGGCGGGGACAAGGACTGCTGCTCAGGTGACTGTCCTGTTATGCAGTCTAGGACCCAGGCTCAGACAGTCCCTCACAGCTGTGCCCAGATACTTGCCTTCTAGTTGATCCCAGGTTCTGTCACACTGACAGTAAACAGTGGCCACCACTGTGTGTTTAGAACAATTTGTTCCAGTGATACAGACAAATGAGTGCCACTCTGAGGGTAGGGCTTATAGCTCTTGAGATTCAAAGAACACCCCAAACGGAGCCTCTCAAGAAGGGGTGCAGGACTCCATTTTGCAGATGAGTCCTGCTCCTGGAGCAGCTTCAGGGCCAGACACCCTGGGAGTGGTCTCCACCATTCTGTGCCCTGTGGTTGGTTTATACACCGAGAACAAGCAGAATGCCACATGCTCAGTCTAACTACTGAATTGTTCACTTTATTCTCAGGGAATAAACGACACATCAACTCCTGGAGTGACAAAGGCCATAAGCAACCATCTTCCTTTTCAGAGTTTTGACCCTGCAACACTGTCCCACTGCACAGGTGAATATAATAAATGACTCCATACTGAGCTGTGGTAAGCTGCGGTAAGCCTGCATCCAAGCTTGTGTGGTGGTGGTAATGTTCTAGAAAGGCCCATTCATTTAGTGACTGTTTATAGAACAGCCCACTTAGGTTCTGTATGTATTCACTGTACTGGAGGTAGGTTCCAGCTGAGAAATAACCCTTTCAAGCAGTGGTTCTCAACCTTCCTAATGCTGCCACCCTTTAATAAACCATAAAATTATCTCATTGCTACCTCATAATTCTAATTTTGTTAGTTATGAATCATAATGTAAATACCTGATATGCAGAATATCTGATATGCGACCCTTGTGAAAAGGTCATTCAACCTGAGACCGAGAACCACTGCTTTAAAGCATTATACTGGTTGACTCCAAGGCCATGAATAGCAGAGAGGAAATTGAGGACTGGTCAATTTGTTAACTGGTTCACCAGAAGATTTACAGACCTTGGGTGATGGTAGTACCCTTGACCAGATCGTCAACCAGGCACATGTAGAGAGAATAGACACATTTTGCGATTATAATAGAGATAGACACATTTTGTGATTAATAAGGATGATAGACAGTTCTTCAATTCTAGACACATGCATGGCATATATATCCTCAGTGCAGTGGGCACGTGCATGACATACATACCTCATGGCAGTGGACAACCACTTTCATGCCTAAGCTGATCAGTGATTGGACTATAGAGAGCCTTGATGAATGTTTTCAGAACTTAGACCCTTACCAAGGACATGTGAAGGTTTGGGAATGGTGGGAGTTGCCACTAAATTGTGGCGATACACCTGAACACCCACGTGAAATTCCAGAAAGGGCATGAAACACTCACCTCAGACTCTAAATCTACACTTAGCACAGCTCCCAGACCCAATTCAAAGCTGTCTCCCAAATATGACTGAGGATCATGCCTTAAGCTCCCAGGGAGATAAAGGGGACATTTGGCTCCTTGATGTCTCCATTTCTGCACAATAAAATAACTGCCTAAGACACCCTCTAAGATAGGTAGTGAGTCCAAACATAATAAACTAGTCTTCAGGAAATTACCCCCTGATACAGTATTTTAAAAATAGGGAAAATAGTTTCTACACTTGGCACTTAATTATAACAATATAAGTCAAAAGCAGTATACCAAGAGGAAATAGCTAACACCTGTGAATGAGCAGCGCTTACTTTTGGCTCGCCGGTATCTTTCCTGAGGATTCCATTTCATACATGGTCTGGAGCCGGCACTTCACGAGCTCTGTGGGACAGAGGACCAGTGCAGCAAAGGCTGAGGCAAAGGAACCAGCAGCTGCATTCTGGAGGTCACTGAAAGGACAGAAGATTTACCATCAGCTCATTGATCCCTTTTGCATGCACCACACCAGAGAGAGCACAGGATGAGAAGGAAATCTACATGTACTGTCCCATCTAAGAATCCTATAGTAGACAGCAGTACTCCAGTTCCACGAGGAATGGCACTTAGAGGAAATACATGTCCCCAAAGCCACACATCCATAACGTGGCATGCTAGGACTCCAGTCCAAGTCTGCCTGGTTGCTACATCCATGTGTATGTCCCCATCCCCTCAATTCATGTGTTGAGAATCTAACTACCAATGTATTACAGTGTTTAAAGCACTTAAGAGGCAATCAGGAATACTAACTCCTGAGGGTTAGTCCTTCATCATGCCATCTGTGACCAGTAACTTTGCTCCTTCTATCAGGAGAATACAGTGACAAACCCTGTCTGAACCAGGGCATGAGTCTGGGCATCTTCATTTTTTGCTTTAGAGCCTCCAGAAGGGAGGTTTGTTTAAGTTTCCTAATAAATGGTATTATTGGTAGCCCAAGCTAAGCACATAAAGAAAAAATGAAAAGAAAAAAGGAGGGACCATAGGAGAAAGGGGGAAATCACCTACTGTCATACTTCCCCAAATATAGTCTATTAATACCTTAGTATATTGTGACAATATTGCTTCTGGCCCTGAATCTAACCTGGAATAACAAGACATGTAACGACTACAGATATAAACCAATTTAGATTTTTGTGATCACAAAAAGGCTTCCCAATTCAGCTATGACATCTAATAAGATTTGATATGTTACCCAACAGTTTGTGTGGTGGAAGCTTGGTCCCTTGTGTCTTGCTGAGGTGATGGGACATCTAAGAGGTGTGGGCCTGTCCATGGAAACCCCCAAACATCACAGGTCATTGCCAATGTTACTGGTTGCTCTCCACAACCTGATGTAAAGCCCCAATATTGAAGACAACATGTACATATGGCAAACTCAGAGAAGTCAAGATAGTGCCTAACCTGAGGCTTTGGCTCTACTGACTGGCATTCATGGTACTGGAAAGAATTCTGCATGCTACTCGGAGAAACTCATAGTCATCAACATCTCCCAGCTACAAACCCTGAGACCTACAACAGTGACTTGCCTGCAAGATGCCCTAATGCATTAGCAATAAAAATGCTATGGAAATAACCAACCACTTTCTTTCTGACTGGACTTACTCCATGAGTTGGAACCCATACGTGACAATTAATGTGGCCAACACCTGACACGAGATAGGTCACTGGCTTAGGGGAAAACCTAAAATTCTATTAAAGGAACTAGTAATAAAAACAATTCCCAATGGCAGATTCATTAGGAATAGTCACTGATCAGCACCTCACTCAGCCCTCATCAGAGAAGCTTCATGTTCAGAAATGGACAATGTGCAGAGAGGGAGAGACTTTGGAGCACTCGGTCTGAAATGGGAGATCTTCATCAAACTCCTCCCCTCTGCGCTCAGGATCTATGTGGAAAGACCATGAGCCAGAGATATGGATGATTCCAAGGAAAGAGTGTCTTCCAGACACAACAGGACTAATGCACATATGAATAAACTCAGAGACTAGGGCAGTATGCCTAAGACTTGCATAGGTTCAAGCTAGATGGGGTCCGGGCACTAAGAAAGGAGAAGTGGACACAGGCTCCCACTCCTAACCAGCTACCTAAAACTGGTACCTGGCAGCAAAGGGAAAATTGGTTTGACCCAGGAGTCTCACTGGGCACATTCACCACACTTCCCTGAATCAGTTGAGCAACACAAAGTGAACTCAGTGGCATTGTTGTAGACTTTTTGTTTTAGCTTGCTTTATGCTTTTTTTTTTATTTTATTTTTATTTTTTGCCTCATTGGCCTTTTCCTTTTTTATTTTGACCTCCATTTGGGGGGGGTGTTGTATGTGTTTCTTGTTTTATTGTTGTTTTGGGAGAGGAAGAGAAAATGAATATAAAGTCTGGTGGGTAAAGAGGTAGGGAAGACCTGGGGAGAACTGGAAGGGAAAAACATGATCAAAATACATTGTATAAAAAAATGTTTCAATTAGCCCTGCATTGGTGGCCCACTCCTTTAGTCCCAGCACTCAGGAGGCAGAGGCAGGCAGATCTCTGAGCCTACAGACCATGGGTAGCCAGCCTAGTCTACAGAGCTAGTTCCAGGACAGGTTCCAAAACAATACAGAGAAACACTGTCTCAAAAAACAAAAAAACAAAAAAAAAAATCAATTATAAAAAAAAAAAAAGGTGGGTAGTAAGGTGTTGCCACCCTCAGAGGGGACAAATGCAGAAATGCAGTTGTCATAGCACTGCAGTTAACAGTTAACTCCCACAAGAGCAGAGCTTCCTCTACTATCTGGTGACCTCTCCTCATTGATTCCATCTGCAATGCTGTCAGAGAACCAGAAGTCACCCTAGAAGAACCAAGCAGATGCCAGCCGCAAAATCTTGTATTCCAGACTACATAAACTAAATAAGTTTCTTTATTGTTTCCAGCTTTGACCTTGCCTCTGTGCATCAGATGGCAGTTGCAGTCCACAGGCTGAGCTGCCCCTCAAACATCCAGGACTCAGGAAAGCCGGCTTGCTTACCATGGGGCTATCTGATGCAGGACTGTTTGCTGTGTAGACCCTTTCGACCTTAGAGAATTAAGCGTACCACCGTGAACTAAGACGAGCCACTCAGGTGTACTGACATCCTTGTGTTTAGTTCACTCCTTCACATCATTCCTTAGCTCATTTGTTAAAAGCCAAAGCTTGAAATGGTTTTTTGGCAAGCCTATAAACCATGGGTGGCCTTCCTCAGGGACACACAATCAACCTGCTGACAGGTAATGAGGGTGACTGCCTAGAATGTGCTAACGTTTCCTAGAACAAATGTATCAGATGTTAATGAACGTGGAAGTCAATTCAACCTCAGGTGTTGGGATGGTTCCAGAATCTAAATGAACACAAAACACCTGAGAGTACAAGGGAGAGGCCAAGTCAGCATGTCCATGGACTTTGGCTTCCTCATAAGCACTTTCCAGTGAACAAAATAAGGCACATGGACCTTTATCTCTACACGTGGGATAAATATATACAGCTGGATTTGAAAGTGCAGAAAGTGTAGGATGGGGCTTTGTAAGAATCCACTGTAGACTCTTTGTCTCATTTGGTCCTGTTAAGGTATTTCTGCTTTACTTGTCTGCTGTTCATATTATGTTTTGTATGATATTTGTACTTCTTGTTTTAAAGAGATTTTTAAAAACATAAAGTTGGTAGAGTGGTGCAGGGGGATCTGGGAGGATGGGGGAGGGGAAAATATAAAAATATATTGTGTGAAATTTTTTTAAGAAAAAAAAAAAGTATCTACTATTTGACCTAAAGCTGCTGTGTAAGATCTCATTCAGCCAAAGGTCAAAGTAGAACACCACATCAGGTTCAAACCAGGACACACAAATATTTGTGATGTGGCTGCAGAAATCCACAGCGAATGCTTGCTTTAACTGTTTCTGACCAGTGGTATCCTTGTTGGTCTCTCAGAAAGAGATCTGAGTGGAAGGGGACAGTGGGCTCAGATGACACATGTCCTTGGTCCAGCAACTATGACTATTTCTCCATCTGAACATGTCAGAGTACAGCAGACTGTAGGCAGAGTTCTCCCAACAGGTAAGGAGCAAAACTCTCCAAGGAATGAAAGGGAGAGACTCTAAGCTCAGGAAAAATTCTAGCTCTGTATTAGAGCAAGTTTACCAGGTGTGTTTCCATACTGAAGAACTGTGTCCTAAGAAGCTACACACTATGGGTACCACATGAAGTAAATAAATGAACTCAAAGTACCACACAAGAAATAGAGTGAGGCCTTTTCCAACCTTTTCTCGGTGACACCAGTTCTTGCTTCTGGAGAGGGTGTGGAGAAACACTCCTGTAAGCATCCTACTATCAGAAAAGACCAAGTGAAGTAGTAATGTACACCTGTCATCCCTGTGTGGGAGGCTGAGGCAGGAATGGTACTTCAGGCCAGTCTAGGCTGCACACAAAGAAGAAGAGGCAATTGTGGTGATACCATTCTTGCACAAATAAAGCCTGACTGGGGGTCAGAGAATGGAGTTTGCCACTAGCTAACCATAGAGGTCTGGGTCTGTACAGACAGAAAGAGATGTAGCTGGGCAGAAACAGGATATAAGCAGGGTGAAACAGGATATAAGCAGGGACAAGCAGGAAATCACTCTCTTCTCTGCTGAGACGCTTAGGCAGTAAGGTGTGCCGTGGCTTGCTCTTTTCCTCTGATCTCTCAGCATTCCCTATATTTCCGACTCAAGCTTTTTATTATCAAGACCAATTAAGAACTCCTTTTACAGGCAATGTGCTCAAACCAGTCTCTGTTCATAGGCAAAGCTGGGGAAGTGAGGCCAGAACCACCTCCAATAGTTTGCTCCCATCACCACCTCTGTCCTACAGCCAAAGAATGTTACTAGGCCCAGAGGGAGCAAAGAGTCTTCTACTAGAACCTTCCCTGGGTACCCACTGTCACCTGGGCTTTCTCCCATGTTGTCCTTCACTAATGGAGCTGAGGGAGATAAACCCCAATGTCCTGAAGTAGCATGCCTCTCCTTCAGCTAGAGAGAGCTTCTGTCTGGTCTCCCTACGGGATGCTGTTCTCTTGGCCCTCTATCTCTGTCTCGTTGAGCTCTGCTTCCTGCTCTCTCTTAGCCAGAGAGCTGGAGGATCAAGTTCAGCCCTCCTCTGTCCTACACTATCTCCATGGGCTATCTTATTTTACTTATCCTGATTTTAAACACAGGCTCTACCACCATGATCAAAGTCTTGCCTATAAAACAGCACATCTGAATCTTGTAGATATCTCCAGAACACACTTCCATGTACAGGGAATCTACTTTAGTTGTGTTCAACCTATGACTACAATAGAGGTTCCAATTTCTATTGTCATGGCCAACAAGCCTGCCCTTTGCAAGTATAAATATGATTTTATTGTATGTTTGTGTGTGTGTGTGTGTGTGTGTGTGTGTGTGTGTAGGTGTATATGTATGTATAGGTTTCTTAGAAGCTATACATCTGTATTTTGAAAAAGGATCTCGCTGGGACCTGGGGCCCTAGATCTCCTACCTCTGTCTTTCCAGTACTGGGATTATAAGCACACATCATGTCCAGCTTTTTATGTGTGCAGTAAGGATCTAACTCAAAGCCTGGCAAGCACTTTAGTAATTAAGCTTTTCCCCAGCCCCTCCCCCTGTACAATTTCAAATCATTTCAAATAAACTAACACTTGAAGGGTAACTAAGCTTCCCAGTGGCTTATGAATTCTGTCCAGTCTCTGAATGATAGGTACCTAGGGAAGATCAAGTACAAATATATGGCTGATGTATAGGGAGGGTTCAGCCAAAGAAAGCTCAGGTCTGTCTGTAGCTTCCTAATTCCACATTTCTTGTCTGGCATTGCTCAGGTAACCGTTCAACACTCTCCACTGATGAAAGGGAACCTAAAGCTTAAATCCATGCTCTATAGTTAGCCCAGCACTTCTGTTCATGCAGAAACATTTTTCCATAGGGGCCAAAGCACACAGTAGACTCTTAGCATGATGCGTTCAACCTTCTCTGGTTCACACCATGACAATGTAAAACATTCAGGATCAAGTTTTCTACCAATGTCATTAAAATCAAGTGTTCACTTATTTAAAAAAAACAAAAAAAAAAAAAAAAAAACAAAACAAAAAACAGTGTCTGTCAGTGTCCTGACTCACCTCAGTTTTGCCTGCCTGTCCAAGCCAACCATTTTGCGGACCACCTGCTGGCAGAAGCCGTAACACATGAAGAGCACTGAGTTCTCTGCAATATTGGCAATCAGTGCAGGGCTGGTGCCCTTGTAGAAGCCGCGGAAGCCCACCTGGGAGTAGGTCTTCAGGCAGCAGTCAGTGAGGCCCCGATAGAGGTCTGGGAATGTCTGCATCTTCACCTTCATTGTGTCGAAGGGCTGCCCAGTCAGTACACATGCTGTGCCCCCTAGAGGTAGGACATGAGGTTTTAGAATGGGTCTACAGCCTTGGACAAGGATGGTAGCTTCAGTCCATGGTTTACCAGTATTTTAGTTCCTAATGACGGACTGCCTTTCCCCCCAAACCATCTAGCCAAGTTCAGTACAGCTTCTGGCAGGTACCTATGTTGGCCAGCACCAGAGGTCCATGCTAAAGGGATTCATGCTTATAAGGGAGATGTTTGGTTTCTATATTCCAAGCCTTGAGTACAAGATATGGCCTATGTTTGATGGGTTTGGCCATGTAATTAATGGGTAGAGATGGGCTGGAACCCGTCTTACTGTGCTATCCCAGACAGTGGATACACCTGAATCTGTTCTTTATCTACACCAACGCATAGTGTTAACTTGGCACAAACCCGGCACACAAGACCACCACAGACATTGACAGAAGCCAAGCAGAAGGAACAGAGGGTTTGGTGGTAGAGACAGCATTTCTTCCTAAGGCCCAACTGTATGGTGACTCTTAGAAAAACACAAGAGCCAAGTGCCAGATAAAGAAAACAAGAAGCCTGCTAATTAATCTCTTGAGAGTAAAGCATTTGACCCCGGGAAAAGCACTTGAATTTTACTCAATTAATGATTTGTACCTAGTTAGGGAGTCGACTACACTTGCCCTTGCTTAGTATGAATGGACTGGAGTCTGCCTTGCATTTGCTTTCATATGAGAATATCAAATGTACTAACTCTAAATTGCATTAGATTACTTCAGTAATAATTATGAACTTAGGGATAAGAACACACTGTGATTGCCCCATAGTATCTGTAGACCCTGGACTAGGACCAAAGTTTTAGGACATGCCGCTGGTTAATATTTACCTCTCTCATGAGGCCTACAAGGCCCCACATTTCAGGCACCCCTGCTTAGGTCAGGAAACATAGCAACTATGTGATGACGCTGCCAAAAAAACATCACCAAAATGGAAGGCTTACACAAAATATTTAAGAAATGCAATTTTGCCAGGTGGTGCTGGCTCATGACTTTAATTCCAGCACTCCAGGCTACTGAGTGAGTTCCAGGGCAGGGCAGCCTCCAAAGCTACAGAGAAACCCTCTTAAAAAAAAAAAAAAAAAGCAATTTTATTTCACAACTCAGATACTATGCATTGTTATCCCACCTGTGCTGTGGGAAGTAGAGACGGAGGGCAGTGAGGGAGTCATTTACTTACTGATAGACAAGGTAAGGTGTTACTTCCAAGGAACCTGAGAATGGCTTGGCCTATTAAACAATCAAAATGATTTCTGTGATTTTCTTGCTATTGTTTGCTTCTTCCAGGAGAGTTAACAATAAAGTTTCACCTGGTTATCCACAACTCTGAATCACTGGAATACCATTTACCAAGATGTTCCTGAGAGTGGGTGGCACGTGCCTGTAATCACAGTACTCCTTCCTTCCCTTAGATTGACTTTCTAAGATATTTTATCCTAGCAACACAGTCTGTCCAACAGAGTCGCAGACTCACAAGTCACTAAGGCCACTTATCAGGGAAGGGACAACTTACAGCAGGACATATGGGTACCCCCAACACCCCCCAGGTGGCATCATTGTCATTGCACAGGACTGGGGAGCAGGACATCTGAAGATATCCCTTCAAAATGGTTTTGGGGGTGCTTGTTATTTTGGCTGAGAAGATGAACTTCAAGGCTGTAGAATTCCTCCTTCCCAGCCAGTGTGCCAGTTAATGAGGTACCCTGCATGAACTTCCAGGGGCTGCTTTTCCTGATGTAAGAGAGATATTAAACTAACTCAAAGCACTCCATAGACTCAAATTTTGTGATATACATTGCTTTGCTAGCCAGGCAATGCTCTAACTCTGCTTTAGCTCTCATCCTAGCTGCCCAGAGAGCCTCTCCTGGGACCTCTGCTACAGCAAGTGCAGGTCAGGCCAGAGACAAGTTCTCTGTTCTTTGGTAGAAATGAGCTAGCTGGGAGTCTTGTGGGGGCAGCTTTGATTAAAACCAAAAGGAGACAAAGAACATATTTACATTTTCATCCCATCATGACCCTTGACCACAGCTGACTCTCTACTTCCAGAAAGATCACAATGAGGGGTGGTCATGGAACACTGGGGGTTCTCTGCACAAGTGGAAAAATCTCAAAACATGGGAATTTGCCAGTCCAGACAGGGTAGCAAAGAGTCCAAACCACATCTGCCCTTAGAGAAGGCTGCTGTTCTACTAGCCAACCTAAAACAAAGTTATCAACAAAACAAGAAGCCAGGCAGCCGGGTGGTGGTGGCACACACCTCTGATCCAGCACTCAGGAGGCAGAGGCAGGCAATCAGATCTCTGAGTTGAGGTCATCCTGGTCTACAGAGTGAGTTACAGGACAGCCAGAGGCCTACCCTGTCTTGGGACAAAAACAAACAAAAAACCTATAACCTGTTAAGTGCTACTTCAAGTATCTGAATGTACATAGCCAGGGAAGAGGGAAACTTTAAAAATTATTGCAATAAAGCCTTGTTTGCTCTTAGACTGACAGAAGAGTGTAGAATACCTGCAGTTGTGACTCTCTCAAGAGACTGTACACACTCACAGAAGAGACAAGGGCTGGACGTGCAACGCTCTCCACTAGCCAGAACCGGTGGGTGTTTTTGTCACCTACAGTCAGCATCTCCACAGCATGGCATGAAGACTAAGGAGGAAACTGACTTAATCCTATGATTTATGTCTAAGAGGAAGGAATGGGGCCCAAGGAATTGGTCCATCCTTTCTTCCACAGAGTAGGGGCCAGTGACCTGAAGACCCATTGTGGTTAATAACACATTGGGTACAACCTTGCTAGCTGTTGGACCTGCTCACCAGACTGGAACACTCCTTGTCTCTAGCCTGGAGAGGTGTCCTTGCCCAGGGGATCCTTATCAGCTTTCTGAACCAACTTTGACCTTCGGTTCATGGAGAGGGTAGAAGAGCTGGGAGAGGGGTGAGAGATGGAGTTGTTCTCTGTACAAGGATTATTTTTCCTCTGGCAGAACAAAGGACAGAATGAGAGGTGGTAGTCCCCTGACCACCCTTGATCTGTTGACCCAAGAGGTCACACTGTGTACAAGAACATCGAGCAGCATGGTGCTCTGGCCTCCCTGGCTAAGGGTAGATCAAAGGTTCCCCTTCCAGTGGGCCTTTGCCCCTAAGATGACATGGGCACCTAGCTCTTTGGGCCCCAGGCTGAGCTGCTCCAGCGCCTCCATGTTAAAGGTGGTCTTTTTTTACTGTGGCCTCAGGTCACCTGCCCTGGTTCCAGTCTGTCTGAGGGTCAGCCTCAACTGCCCATTCTCAAAAGATTCTGGCCGTATCCTCTTCCTTTCCACACCAGGGGACACCAAGGAACACCAGCCTCATTGCTAAAGGGAGCCTTCCTTTCTTTCCCATCACCAATACGAACAGGAATGGAGCAGAGAGCTGGCTCACTGGGTAACAGTGCTTACTACACTTCCTGAGGGACCTTCCTTGTTTCTCAGCACCCACATGGGTGGCCCACAACTGCCTGACTCCTGCTCCACGGGATGGGATCCAATCTGCTCTTCCAGTCACCTCTGGCACCTGCTCACATGTGGCAGATAAACACAAAACAGAACAGTAAGTGGCATTTTGTATAACAAAAGATCTGAAGAGTGCCCAACGTGGGGTGAACCACTGGCACATGCCTATCCTAGCATGTGACAGTAGCCAATGGAGGCTTTCTAGCAATACCAGGGACACTGTCACCCTTCACTGACTGCTAAAGCTTTAATATAATTAAACGCTACCCTATGGTTCTTGCTGTCATGCTCTGAACAATATCAAATTTCCATTAAATTGATTCATTCTGAGGGTAGAATATATTATCTATGGGGCAACAATTTCCAGGACTTAGGAACACGGGGGAAGGACTTAGGAACACAGGGGGAAGGACTTAGGAACACAGGCGTACGATTTTTATTTATTTATTTATTTATTTTGATGATTACCTGCAGCCCCTGCCGTGAGGTCAATGGCAGCTTGGATGGCAGGATTGGACTTCATGGTGCCTCTGGGTTCTGTGGAAGGCAGCTCTCTAGAGTGTAGGGTGTGTGCCACATACCCCTGGGAAGAAGGGAAGGTTCCATCAGCCTCTGCAGTCCTCCATTCTCTAAGCACTGGCCCTGTTCTCATCACTACTCCAGCATGTTTCAACAGTAATTGTGTAGATTTCCCTAAGGCCTTGCTACAATTCGGATTCTGATTGAGCAGGCCAAGCTCCCAGGCCCAGGCCAATAATGAATGTGGGCCAGTCACACTGTGCCACATCTGGACTACTGGGTTCCGTTTTACTTAATCGGAACCCCAGGGGTAAGTTTCCGAAAATCAAGTCGCCATTGTTCAATACAGTGATACTGGAAATGTTTGCATCAAAGGCTGGAGTTTAGGGAAAGAGAATCTTCCTTGACCGTTTTGTTTTGTTTTTCAAGACAGGGTTTCTTTGTATTGCTTTGGAGCCTGTCCTGGAACTAGGTCTGTAAGCCAGACTGGACTCAAACTCATAGAGATCCGCCTGCCTCTGCCTCCCGAATACTGGGATTAAAGGCATGCACCACCAAAGCCAGGCTTCTTCCTCTACCTTTAGAGAAAAACAAAAAACAAAAACAAAAAAAAAAAACCAACTTGCTGAGATGTGGACTCACTATTAACTAGAAAAAAAATGGAGGATTTCTTAATATACAAGATCAAGTTACCCATCACTCAAACTATTCTGTATGTTCTCAAAATACAGAATTGATCTACATAAAACAGAAAGCAGTTTCACACAGAGAAGGCTGGTGCGCTAGGTCAAGGTTCTTTCAAATGTCAAAGCCATTCTCAAAGCCGAGAAAATAATGGCAGTGGGCAACCAAGAATTTGTAAAAATAAAAAACAAACAAACAAAACACTTTGTCAATGACCACATTCCAAGAATCTTTTCTTAAAAAAGAAAAACATCTTTTTAAATTAGCAACATGGTAGTTACAAAAACACCCAGGCCTATATTTTTGCAGGAAAAGTAAAAGACTAGCTGCAGGGGGTAACATTCAAAGTGGCCACAGATAAACATCAGTGCTTCCATTTTTCCATGTGGACTCTTTACTAACTGGGAAGGCATAGAAAAGTGTATCTAAGAATGCAGTCACTGAGAATCCAACTCCCTTACAGCAGCCAAATGCACACACTTCAAATCCTAGAGATAATATGCCTGGAGGGCCAAAGAGACAGGAAGTTTTCTGTGAGTGTCTCTTAGAAATGTCAGAAAGGCTATATCCATGAAGTCTCATCACCTCGGACGCCTAAGCAAACCTACAGAAGGATACCAATAGACATGGGTGGAAGAAATCTCAGGGGTGTCTCAAACCTGGACAAAGAACTACAGGCAACTAAGAAATGATTCCGGCAGAATAGTATTCCCAAGGGAAGAGTCCCCCAGTTGGTTATCCACCACATCCATACAAGTAGCATTATATGGACTGAGAAGGTTGTATTTATGTATTTAAGTCTCTCTCTCTCTCTCTCTGTGTGTGTGTGTGTGTGTGTGTGTGTGTGTGTGTGTGTGTGTGTGTGTGTGTAAGATAACAAAGAAAAAGAGGCCATGAGTTTGAGGAAGAGTTACATAGACTGGTTTAAAAGTCGAAAAGGGAATAGAGGAAATAATGATAATTATAATTTCAAAAACATTATTATATATAAAAATGTTTTTCCTGTGCTGGAGACTAAGCCTGACTTCCTGCCTACATTCTACCTACCACTTAGTCTCTCCTTCTCAGGGATACCTATCAAATTATAGAAGACAGAAGTGGTACTAACAGATGAACCCAGAAAGTATGCAGAATGAACTGAGTATGAACTGTGGCTTGGAGAGACTGCAGGATTTGCACAAACTAGACTGGTCCACACGGATTTAAACTGACTTGGGAGCTTGCTGTACCATTTGGAGTAAAAACCCGACTCCTTTCCCGTCCCACTCTCTTCCTTCAAACTATCTACCCAGTAGTCACAGAAACAACTCTAGCAGTAGAGTGGTCGCTAGACGAAAATAATTTCTTCGGCGGTCGAACCGGGTGAGGCTGCATTTCACTAGGGAAGACTTGCAACGGGGCCGCAGCTGGAAACGGAGGCCTCGGGCCACCAGCGTCGAAACCCTTGGGCCGAGCGCAGGGCACCGGGCACCCGGGTGTCATCTACTGCTGTAGCTGCGGAGCGTGTCACCACCCGGCCTGCACCGGATCCCTCACCCCAACCCCCCACCCCCGCGTAGCGCTCGCACCCCGCGAGGCAGCGCTGGAGGCAGAGCCCACCAGAACCCCTGCGCCTCCCGGGACGCGGCCGCTAGCCGGGTCCGCGCCGGTGCCGCAGCACGTGGGCAGCAGGGCGGGGACTGTCAGGTCGCGTTCCCTAGCCCGGCCGCCCGCAAGCTCCCTCCTACGTAGGCCACCTCACCGCCGCGCCTGGCTGCACCGCCTCGCAGTCCGCCGTCCGCGCTCCGCGCTCCGCTGGCGGCCGCGTCCCCGGGACACTCTTTAAGGTCGCAGTGTGGGTCCCGCCTCCCGAGACCCCTCCACAGGCCCTCCTCCGCGCCCCGAGGCCCCTCCTCCCCTCCGCCCCTCCCTCTCGAAACCCCTCCACTGCCCCCCAAGTCCACGAGGCCCCTCCCTCCAGAGGCCCCGCCCTCCAGAAGCCCCTCCCCGATGGCCCTCCCCACCCGAGGCCGGAAGTCTGCTCTCCACGCTGGTAGGCTGGCTGGTGGCCCTGGGGCTAGTGGCAGATTCTAGGAGAAGGACTCACCTTGAGGTCTCCAGGCGTCGTTATCCAGCCCGGGAGGCTGCGGTTTCAACGGTAAATAAAAAGTACTGGAATGGTAGTGATGAAATATAAATTCATTTATGTCCATCTTTTAGAACTATGTATTTATTTGTTTAGAGACAGGGACTCACGTAGCCCAGGCTTAACTTACTGTGTGGCTAAGGATGGCCATGAACTTCCTGATCTTCCTTCCAAGTGCGGGGGGGGGGGGGGGGGGGCTTGATTTTATGAGGTGTTTGGGATCAGAAAGCTAGCTAAACGTCAAGCCAGGGGTCCACCTAAAGAGTGAGCAAGTGGTCTGTATTCCTTCATGGCTCCTGCCTTGACTTCCTTCAACCTGAAAGTGTATGTCAAATAAACCCTTTCCCTCCCCCAAGTTTCTATTTATCAGTATTTCTATTTATCAGAATGAAACTAGAATACTGACTGCTCCTACAAAGGACTAGAGTTCAGTCAACTGGCTCACAAGTTCAGCTCTGATGGCTCCAACTCCCTCTTTCCCTCTTCTGGTTTCTACAGTCATCTGCATGTACCTGGGGGTACACACACACACACACAAACACGTTTACAAATGAAAGTAATAAATGCTTTAAAATATAATAAAATCAAGAGCTGAAAATGCTTACAGAAGGTGTGGCTTCTGTGATAAGATTAGCTCTAGTCCTAAATCAAAGATTCTTGGGCTTCATGTGACACTTAGTCACCACCTTCGCATTCGGCTTCAGCCCCCATAACTATTTCCATTTTCTATATTGTAGTTTCTTCATTTTCTCTTTATTTCTTTGCAGTGTCTCCTGGCCCAGTGGTGTGAAAATCCTCATGTGACCTTTCTTATTCTTTAAAATTCATCAGCACGCCAAGTGATGGTGGTGCATGCCTTTAATCCCAGCACTTGGGAGGCAGAGGCAGGTAAATCGCTGAGTTCAAGGCCAGTCTGGTCTGCAGAGTGAGTTCCAGGACAACCGGGGCTACACAGAGAAAATAAATAACTAAATAAAAACGAAAATAACTAACTAAATAAATAAAATAAAGGAGTGGAGTCGTGGGGGCATGTGTTGTTCTACTTTAGTAAGACATGTAAATTAGATTAGGGACCTGGATGAGGAAATACTTGTGTAACAATCAGCTGTTCTAGGTTCAGTCCAGAGAGGGGGGACCTTCCTGCTGCCACACAGGCCTTAAAATTTCATCTTGGGGTGCCTTCTTTCTTCAGCTGACCTACACTACACACGGTGCACCCTATCCCCCCCCCCACACACACACAGGAAGGTGTTAGTAGTTTTTCCTGCCGGCCCACCTGGTCCCACCGCTGCACCAGCCCCCAATAACACACAGAGATGTTGTATTAGATATAATTCTGTTGGCCTGTTTCTAATGTTTCTTATCTGCTGGCTCTGTCTTAATGATTAACCCATTTTTATTAATCTAAGTATTTCCATGTGGTCTCATCTTACCAGAGAGAGGGGCTGGAGTTCTTCTTTCCATCCTCCATCTTGACTCCTCCCTACTCCTTCCAGAATCCTCCTTGTTTCCTAGTCCTGCCTATCTTGCTTTCCTATTGACCAACAGTGCTTTATTCACTAACCAATCCGAGAAACATATTTACAGAATGACATCTCCCATCATCTCCTCATTTCTGTATAAAATAAAAAGAAGGGTTTTAACCTTAGCATGGCAAAATATATCACACAACAGTTATCAAATAAGAGTCACAGTTAAAAATATTTAGTCCATTAACATTTAGCAAGATTTAAAGAAAACATTCCATCATCTATCCTATCTTTGTGAGTCTAAAATATTACATGTAATTTATCTTTAATCCTAACTAAGGAAAACTATAAACATAGCTATCTGTTTTCAACTCCATCAAAGACCACAGAAGGATAATATATAAACTCTAGAAATGACAGAGACAATTCGCCTGCTCAGTCACTCAAAGTTCTGTAATGTTCCATCTTCAGCCTTTAGACCATAGTGTGTCTGGCAGACTACTCAGCAAAGCAGGGAACTTTAAACTGTCCACCTGTATTGGCAGTTTGTCAGTCACTTTTCTCTGTGTCCTGCAGAATGTCTGGCAGACTCTTTCATGAAGCAGGAACTCTGTAGCAATGTCCATCTTGTTTCAGCAGTTACTTTTCTGTGGGTCCTGCATGTCCAGTTTATATAGCATAAAGTCAAACAGTCCGGGCAAGAATAGTTTCTTGCCCAAATGGCTAGTCTTGCCATATTGAAAGCAAACTTCATAACACATTTCTTCAATATCTGTCTTCCTTTCTGACCCAGGTGGTGTTGCCTGGAGCAGTTATGTCTCATGTTAAGAAAAACCCTAAACCATTTTAAATGCCATATTCTGTAGGTCTTTGAAAGGTTTGAAGAATGCCTATGCATCTCAAATACATCTTGAAAACTTAACTAACTTAACTCTAAGTTTTGACTATTATAGGTAATTACCTATAATCTGTACTACATTATACATTACATTTCTAAATGAGCTATATAAACACAATACCTAAACAAGAGGAGAAATATACTTATCACAAAATTGACCTTAAATTTGTATCAATAAATGAAAATCCACATTAAAACAAAGTATTCATACCTATACCATAATCCCCTTTTTACCTTAAAAAAGATTGGTTGTGGTCATTAACCATTTATAACCAATCCCATATAACTGAAACAAACATTTATAGACAATATTTGGGAATTTGGGCGTTGTTCTTTCCAAACTACTTCCTGTTAGTAGGGGGCGCTGTCATGGGGATCCTAAGAAGACACAGAAATACTTGCTGTAGTCTGCAAGGCTACCTTGTCCAAACTATTTTGAATGGTGGATGACCTGGGACATTGCTTTGGGGGTCTTGCTTGATCAAACCGTGTTAGTCTGGAGGGAATCCACAGCTTTTCATTTTCTGTGAAAACAAAAATAGAAATCCTTTCCCCCAGTAACCTGTCCTTAGACTTAAATTTTGGAGTCAAAGCATTTTTAAAATATATAAATTGAATTAATCTAGCAGCATTTGTTTTAACAGTTGTTATTTCCTCAGCAGTCAAACAATGTAAAGATAACAGAACAGCATATAGTATCCAAAGTTTCTCTGTGCTTTCCATCTTTTTTTGTAGCTTTTTTAATACTCGATTTCTTTTACTTCTATTTTTTCATTTTTTGAGACAGTGTTTACCTGTGTAACTTTTATCTGTCCTGGAATTAACTCTGTATACTGGGTTTATTTTGAAATCAGAGATCTGCTTGCCTCTGTCTCCCAAGTGCTGGGACTAAAGGTGTGTGCCACCATACCCAGCTACTCTCTTTTTATTATTCTTTTTTTAAACCATTTTATCCTGTTTCTTTTTCTCTCCCAAGCCTACGTATATTTTAAAACATACTGTAAACCTTTAGAGGTTTTTCTTAATCTGAATCTGTCTTTACTGTAAATCTTTATCTTTTTCTGGCCACGAGTCTTTTATCTGGTAAACACTGGTCAAATGAAAGCCATAGCTGTATTAGCTGTGGTCTATCCAAGATGGTGGTGGGTACTTTTACCACCAGAACTGAGAGCTGTGCTCACTGCCTTGGTCTGTGCTGCCATCCAGCAGCATGTTGCCAGCTTGGAGATGTGGTCATCTCCACTGCCAGCTGTCATACACATCATTCAGTTGTTAGCAGAGCTCTTTAAAAGCTGTGTGGTGTTTTATATTTTGCTGCTTATGCTGAGTCAGAAAACCTCCCTTAAAGGAGCCTCGCAAGTCTCTGCTTGTCTCTAGCGCAAAACTGAGTCCAACTGAGGAAAATGTTGCTACCAAGAAGCCTTGCTTTTCTCTGTTCTTAAAGTTTTTCTTAAGTTTTAAGTGGACATTCTTATTAGCCACGTTGCAGGGTGGGGTACCATTATGTTACAAGTATGTTTTTTCCTGCCGGCCCGCCTGGTCCCACCACCACACCAGAAAGGCTTCCTTTCCAAAGTAAGGGGGCTGTAGGAACCAGTTCATGGAATCCCTTCAAATCCCTATTTTCTTCCATTCTTCCCTAGTGTCTTTGTTCTAGGAAATGAGGAACAATATGCTGATACTTAAGAAAGGACTGAATGGAAAGCTCTGGGTAGCCACTAAATAAGGTACTTCTGTTCAGCAAGTCCCCAGGAATATCGGGGCCTCTTTCTTTAAGTTGTTTTTTTTTTTTTTTTTTTTTTTTTTTTTTTTTTTTACTTTTTAAACTCGTGTGTGTGTGTGTGTGTGTGTGTGTGTGTGTGTGTGTGTGTGAACACATGAATGCTGGTGCCTGTGGAGGCTGGAAGGGAAAGTTGTAGTCCCTACCTAGAGTTCCAGGTGGTTATGGGCTGCCTTACTTCTGTGCTGGGCCTCTCTAAGAGTACCAGGTGCTCTTAACTGCCAAACCGTCTCCCCACCTTGTGAAGACATCATGCCATAGGCATGGAACACTGCTCTCACTGAACAATAGAATGTATTTCAGAGCTGACACTGCTGCAGACGGGCCTCTCTGCTCAAGGTAGTGGCTGGCTACCCTGGAGATTGTGCAAGATGTCACGATGGCTGACCTGTAATGGAAGCAGGTTTGACGCAAGTGAGAGGACAGACAGATTGACCAAAGGAATCAGGCCCTTGTCAGCGCACCAGAGTTTCACAATGTGCAGGTTAATAACGTCACAGGGGGAAAAAATAACAAAGTGTGGTGACTGGAGTAGCAAACAAATCACAAG